TACAAATATCATTGAACTGTAGTGCTGATCGTCGAGTGATCATAAATGCATAACACATTTTGAAGAGAAATGTGTATCACATTGATTAGCGATCAGACAAAAAAGTATTAACACATTTTGAAGGGAAATGTGTATCATATTGATTAGCGATTAGGCAGAAATTGAGTTTAATTAACGTAGAAAGAAACCCACCTACAAATTTTTGGCGAGAAATTTGCTTCTGAAAGAGAGAAAATAGCCGTTTTGGTAGTTTCCTAGTTTCCTTTCCTCGACGGATTCCGTTTCCGGGTCATTTCCCCTTTCCAAATTCCAAATCCGAAGCTGAGCTCTGCGTATCTGACCCGTCCTTTTTCACCGCTTCAACCCCTTCAAACAAGTTCAGGCGACGACGACGACGACCTCGTAGCTCCAGAATACTGGCGCTCCACAGTCCTTCAAACTTCCGACCCCGAATCTCTCCCTCTCTATCAAATCAGTATATATACATATATATGTATATGTATATATACACACACTGCGATTGGCCATGAAATTTACCTTTGATTTGCGTTTGAAGAACCAGCTCTAGAGAGAGACTAGAGAGGGATTCGACTACGATGGGTGTTGTGGCTGAACATTCCGATCGCCAAACTATCAGAGATGTCATCTGCCACGCCGGTGCTGGCGCCTCCGCTGGTCAGTGCCTTCCCCATTCCCATTTCTAGGGTTTCGTTCATCTGGGGACGCATTTGGAAGTCTGATGAATTTATTGCAAATTGATTGAATTGTAAGCTTTGCAGGTGCTATTGCGGCTACGTTTGTATGCCCTTTGGATGTCATCAAGACTAGGCTGCAGGTCCATGGCATGCCTTCTGGGCAAAGAGGTATTCTTCAATTTTCAGCGTCGAAGCTTTATATTCCTTTGAACAAATTATGTTTTGTTTATCAATACTTGGATGAAATTCTGTGTTTTTGTTATTTTAAGGAACTTATCGAATGCAAGTATCGATTTTTCACGATATTAGATTCATTGGGATTATGGGAGCACATGTTTAGGTGGAAATGGAATTGTAATCTGATTAAAGTTTCAGTTTTGTGAACTCCGTGCATTCATATAAAGTATAAACGAGAAAATATGCATTAACCAAATGTATGCCACATTTCTTGTTAATTGGTGAACCGGCTTCAGGGGGCTTTGTGTTTGTTCTATAAAATTTTTTATTTGGCTCATGGCCATTTCGAGGATAAATTTGAGTCGATCTATTAATTTGTAGTATATATGGTTCACACTGCATACTGCGTACATATCAGTATGACTGTTCTTCTTTGTTTTCCTTTTGGCCTATGATCAGGTAGTATCATTGTCACAAGCCTACAAAAAATAGTAAAGACTGAAGGTGTGAAGGGGATGTACCGGGGCCTTTCACCTACAATTCTAGCGCTACTTCCAAACTGGGCAGTGAGTATTACTTTTGTTGCCTTATATTGTGAAACAAATCTTTGGGAGCCCTTCTCTTGTGGAAACTTGAGTTCACAAGGATTTTGGGGCCCTCGGTCAGGTCAAATGCAACTATTTTTCCTATATACTTTTTATAATTCTCCTGGTGCCATATGCACTCTGTTTGTATGCAGGTGTACTTCACAGTTTATGAGCAACTCAAAGGCCTACTCCACACTCATGGTTGGTTTTTCCAAATGTGGCTTAAAAGTTTGTGTTTGTCTCTAATTATTTCTTATGAAATGCCTAGTATTCCTATATTCTTGATTTAGGTTAGAGCTTTGAGGACTATTTAATAGCATTCAGCTTTTAAACATTCACCATGGTCATACTGTAGTTCATGGCAGCGGAGAACTCACAATTGGTGAAAATATGATTGCTGCTGCTGGTGCCGGGGCTGCCACTGCCATTTCAACAAATCCATTGTGGGTTGTTAAGACCAGACTTCAAGTAAGTTTACTGTTTTTGTGTTTGTAATTCATTTAAAATGTAGTAATACGTATATTCTCATGTAAAGGGCATCTGTGATTCCATCTCATTTTCTGCTAGCCTGCATGCTTATTTCATGTTAAAAAAATTCATAATTTTATTGGAGTGGTCAGTATTCACTACTCTCACATACATATGCCCTTTAAAGCATGCAACTGTCATAATTCAGGGTTGTGTAGCTCTAAATTAATTTCAGTTACGGGAGTTTGTTTTTTTTTGCAATAGCAAATGCTTCTTTGTGTTGCATAAGGTTCAAAAAAGCGCTAGAAGCTAGTTGGGCAGCGGGCAGGGGCCTAGCGCCTAGGCATATAGGCAGGGGCCTAGCTTTTTTTAATTTTAATTACATTTATTATATAATATATAAATATATATCTACTTATACTTAAAACACAAACATAATTGTATTAGTATATTTAAATAGCAAAATAGAATGGCATATAAATTATAAAGTACTAGAAGATATTGAAACATGGGGACCAATGACCTGTTATTTTTATGGCATTCTGTTGGATTGCGACTGAGGACATTGTTTTTTTTCCTGGAAACTCTCTGTAATTATCATGTCCGTGACTTGAGATGTCGGGAGAAAGTAAACTGTGCATCAAATGAAAATAAAAGATAGTATTAGTTCAACTATGCAGACACATATTTGCTAGAGATGGTCCTATAGTGCTTACGGGTTTCTAAGAAATGTCTGGGCATGTTTTATTCTTGGGGTTGATGCTTAACCAATGTCTAACCAGGCTAATGAATCTCTTCCACATAATTACATGTTAGTTTCTGACTTAAACTCAACCTCCATGGATTTAGAAAATTAAAGGACTTCGCACTGATTAATTTTGCTCGTTTGAACTTTTTGTCATTTTTGTACATTCATATATTCTTCTTGTTCAACTTCATTTAGACACAAGGAATGAGGCCTGGTGTGATTCCTTACAAAAGCATGAGATCTGCTTTCTCAAGGATTGCAACTGAGGAAGGCTTGCGAGGTTTATATAGGTCATTTTTCTTTCCAAGTTACATCATGTGACACTAAACTGTGAATTTCATATTTGCTTATATCGATTTTTTTTTTTTTTTTTTTCCATTCGGTGAAAGGAGTCCATTCAATTGATATTTAATCTATCCGCATAGTTTCCCTTAATGCTATGTTTTTGCTTGCATGTGTGGTTTCAAACAGTGGGATCTTGCCTTCTTTGGCTGGGATAAGTCATGTTGCAATTCAATTTCCTGCTTATGAAAAGATAAAGTCTTTCATGGCAAAAAGGGGTAAATGTTATATCTTTACTTCTTTGTTGAACTGTTTTACTTGAAAATTCAGTGTTTTCTAATTAATTAATTAGATCTGACCCCGTAAATTTAACTTTTCAGATGATACAACTGTTGATAAGTTACACCCTAGTAGAGTTGCCTTTGCCTCATCAGTATCAAAAGTAATCGCTTCTGTAATAACATACCCTCACGAGGTATGTTCAGCTGGACTTCTCAGTAAACGGATTGGGGCTTGGATGACTGCTTATAACTTAAGAGTCGTGTTTCTCTATCTTCTCATATTTTATTTTGTCTTGACTGAATTTATTATCTCTAGGTTGTGCGCTCGAGGCTGCAAGAGCAAGGGCAGGCCAGACATATTGAACCCCAGTACGCAGGAGTTATTGACTGTATGAAGAAGGTGTTCCAAAAGGAAGGCCTTCGTGGATTCTATAATGGTTGTGCTACTAATCTATTAAGAACCACTCCTTCTGCCGTTATTACATTTACTAGCTATGAGATGATAGATAGGTTCTTGCGGAGGGTTGTACTTGCAGAAAACGAGCATTCAGGTGGCCACCCTAAGTCTGATGGCCATGCTGAACCTCAGAATGGAAATGGAGGCACCGAGAGAGAGGGGAATGACTCTGCATTGCGGCAAGCACAAGCCCAAACAAATCAGAGGACTCCACTTCCTCTTGGAAACAAAGACCCGCTAACGGCAAGACATTGAAGGACTCCACCCTTTTTTGAATTTACCATTTGACTGTAAGAATTTTTTCCATTTGAAAGGGAAAAAAGTTGCTTCCCTTATCATTGAGCTCTTCTTTGTAACTTTTCTTTCTTCGTTCAAAATGTACGTCATCAAATTAGGTCTCCAGTAGTTTGTTTTGAGCTCTTTGATGCAAAAAGTATAGATCCGAAATGATATTTGATTTGAATCGGATTGTAATAAGATAAGAAATTGCAAAAGTTGTGCTTTTATTTCCAACAGGGGAAGCTTGAGCTTTGGTGGTGTAATAAAGCACGCCCTATTCTTTGTCCTTTTTATTCCCAAGGGGAAGAATTGTTGCTTTAGCATGTGTGGTGTTAACCGTTCTCCCAACAGTCATGGTCCTGGGCCTTTGCCACTTTAACTTTAAAAAGGAACCTCAAAAGAATGGTAATGGTTGTACCTCTATTTCTTCCGAAATAAGGGAAGGATCGTCTTCGGTGGATCTCTTTGGTTCTTGTTCCGTCCTTTTCATTTCGAAAGTTGTTTCTATTCAAAGTAAGTTTTTTCTTTGATTCTCGGAACCAACCAGCTCTGACTTAAATGTATTCCTTCTGCCTAATATTGGAAGAGGTTCAAAGTTTCTGACGAGTTCAAATGCACCATATAAGTCATGAAAAAAAAAAAAAAAAACGAAAGAAGAAAATGTTTTCCCCCTTGAATGAAGTTGCAAGGAGTGCCGCGTACAAATTTTTTTTGATACAAATAATGGCATGAATAAGGGAGAAGTGAAACCATAAAGTCAGATGTACGATAAACGCTTTTAACTACAAATCCAATGCCGGTAGCTAAAATTATACAATGCAATACAAGATTGATTTGTATTGGTATATTTGGATCAAGATCATGAGAGATGATTGATCACATGACATACAACAAAGAACTTCTAATAATATTTTTTGAAAATTAGTTTACGAAAACATGAAGTACTTGAAGTTAACGAAAAATTTGATACAAATCGTTATAGAATTTATATGGCCGACACCACTTAGTGGAATAACGCGTTGTAATTTATTCAGGAATAGTGACGAGCGTAGGGCGCCAAGCTCTTCTCAGTAACGACTTGTAACGGAAACCGGTCCAGGCCGGCCTAGGCGAGCCCGGTCCAAATCCGCCAATTTCTTTACCTACCGCCAGCAAACTACCGAACTCTGCCCGCTTATCTCTCTCACTCTCCGCCTTCGTCCCGTCGGTCAACTCAAATGGCGGCGACGACACAAACAAGTCCTTCAAACTGTTCCTCTGAACCGGAAGCTCTTCCGGTAGCGGCATCGGAACAGGCGGGTCACGGCGGCGACTGCTGCTCCGGGTCAGGAGCATGAGCAAGGTGGGTTTGCGGCGAGGCAGCTGGATCAAGGGGCTGGACCGCGGGCTTCGCGTCGGGCTCCGGGCCACGCCGCACTGCGTGGCGAGGAGCTTGAATTTCTGTAAAGTCCCCATCTTTTGGATTTGAGGTCTGTTGCTGCTGCTAACTCCCATTCCTCTCTCTATATATACATGTGAATTATTGGGGGTGAATATTTGAGTTTAAAATGGTGAATGATTGCAGGGGAGAAACTGAGACACAATTGATTGCTTGTGAAATGGGGAAAAGGATATGTTGGGAGGTGGATGCATCTTTTTTATACACACACTAATAAATATTATAAATTAGACCAAATAGTGACTGGGTTTTTTTCTCCTCGTTTTTCACTAATTCAACGAGAGGAGAGAGAGGGGGTGAGAGAGGAGAGAGAAGAGAGAGAGTGGGTGCATTTTCCAAGTGAAATTCCAAAATTCTGAAAATCTACATAGGGTTCTGAAAAAGAGACAACACCTCATTCATTGACTGAAGAAGATTGAAAGGTCAGTTTCAACCATTAATAGGATAAAAATTTTAATCGGATATTAAGTGTCAATATATAAAATTTCTTTCAAGCTTTAAACATTAACAGGAGAAATTATAATATTTGGTATACCGGTTCATGTTTCCAACACATTAAAAAATTTATTCATTAATAAGAGACTTTGTAAAGATTAATTTATAATAAGGTAATGTTAGGGAGATTAAATTTGTAGATATAAATTTGTAAACTAAATGATATGGAAGCTGATGATTAGATTGTAACCTAAATGTTGATATGCATATTCCTATTGATGACAAACCATCTAGTTTGTAAATTTTGTCTACAATCTAGTTTTTCTAATATTACTCTTGATAATAACACTGTAGCGATATTCCATGTGAACAATTTTCATCGTGTATTAAAGTTAAAATACATAGCATCCAAGTTAGGTGGCCTAGATTTCTAATTCCATTTTCTACGTTGTCAGCCTGCATCCAAGGTTCTTGAACAAGAACAACAACGTTGTCATTACCTAACCCTCACCACCACAATGTGATTTTTTTTTTTTTTGGTAACCAAACAAACATATGAAAAATCCAAATTTAGAAGTGTTAAATAAATGATTGATGAAATAGTAGTTCTAATCGTTTAACACAGTCAGACGAGATTACGTCATAGTACTCAAGTTTGAACTCTTTCATGTAAATTAAAGTAATTTAAAACTCTATAAATTTTAAACTTTTGTCATTTATATCCATTTTACTTTCCGGTGAAGAGTGTTTGATCATGTCATATAATTCAAATTGGTTGATAAACAATATCACAAGAAGCAGAAAAAATAGAAGGAAAAAGATATAGACATCAAACAGGTATGAAGAGCCAAAACGCTAGAGATCAAAACTATATGTATAAAATATGAACCCAAGAAGTTGATCTACCAACTCTTTGATCAAACCTTTTTGAATTTTTCTTTGGCTGGGGTAGAATAACTTCGTGCCTATGCCTCATTATATCAACTGCCGGAAGAGATGATATGAGCTCGATGAGAACAACTCCGAAATTATGAACATCACTCTTGCTAGTTAGCTGGTAACACCGGTGATATTAGCAACGGCTCCATTGGAAATGTATTCATAGACAAGGAGGAGTTCGCGGCTGCGGTGTGGGGTGCAGCCATAAAGGGAGACTAACATTTTGTGGCAAAGACCGGTGAGGGATTTCAATTTCATTCATTAAGTGTTCACCGCGTTTGTATTTGTGTTCGTATAAGAACTTGACTGCAACTTCCCGGCCATCTTTGAGTTTTCCTAAATTGGATTGATTAAAGCGGTTGTAACTGTGTTGAACATATAATGATTGCAGGAGTGGTAGTAAGAGGGTCACTCCTACTGTGTTGATTCATTGATTCATGTACAGAAATAAACAAAACAAAAATGAAATACATACTTCATTATTTAGATTGCCTCAGAAAAACATATATTTGTTCAAGCAAATTACAGGGTTTCTACTGTAATGATATCAATGTAGTAGAAGAATCTAACGGGGATTTTGGAGGAGAAGACAAGTAAGGCTTGGGTGGTATCTGCAACGAATCAACACTCCCTTCCAACATATCTATCACTTCCCTCATCGTTGGCCGGTTTGAAGGATCAGTTTGGATGCACCACAAGCTCACTATGATCATCTTCCTTGCTCTTACTTTGTCTTCCTCGTTCATAACATTCTGCAGACCAAGCTCTTCATCCAATTCAAGGCGCTTGTAAATCCAATGCGGAAAATATATTTCACTTGTATTTTCAGCTTCAACGCCGATGTTCCTTCTTCCACCAACGATCTGCGAAAGCATCATTCCGTAGCTGTACACATCCGACTTGTGTGAGACCCCTCCAAAGTTTCTACAAAATACTTCTGGAGCAATGTAACCTGGTGTACCTCTAGCTCCCAACATCGACACAATACTCTCTTTCCTGTTGCATATTTTGGCAAGGCCAAAATCTGAGATTTTTGGGCTGAAGTTTTCATCAAGAAGAATGTTGTGAGGCTTGATGTCGAAATGCAAAATTCGTGTGTTGCAACCACGATGTAAGTACTCCAATCCTCGAGCAATACCAAGTGAAATTTGATCCAGAGTTTCCCATCCCAAGTGATGATGATGATTCTTGGGAGTACTTGCATCAAATATGAACTTCTCGAGCGATCCGTTAGGCATGAATTCATAGAGCAGAGCCCTCTTCGAACCCTCAAAACAGTAGCCCAACAAGGAGACGATGTTGACATGGGAAGTTCGACTAATGGCTGCCACTTCATTCATAAATTCTTCTCCATCTCCTTTAAGTTTGGTCAGGACCTTCACTGCTACAAGACGGCCGTCCTTTAACTTTCCTTTGTAAACAGCACCATAGCCTCCTTGTCCTAATTTTTCTTTGAAGGAGTTGGTCATTTTGTTGACCTCCGAATAGCTATGCCTTTGAACTTGAAGCGGTCCATAGCTCCTTAGAAAGGCCTCAACAATTTGATGTTTTTGGATACGCTTCTTCCAAAAGAAACAGCAGACAACAGCTAGAACGACGATAACAGAAGCTGCACCAACTGTTAAAGGAGAGTTAAATTTGATTGAAGGTATGTTATGCAGAGTAATCAATGGACTTTGCCAACGTGTTCAAACGCTTGCTCATTCCGTGATTCTTAGAAAATTAAATCCAGAGGGACTGGGGAATGATTGATTTCCGTCCTTTGGTTCTAGCACTTGTCCTAGATGAGTATGCATACCAATTACATATTTAAATGCAGGGATATCAATCTTACCTAGTCCTAGCTTCAAATTCAACTGCTTATCTCCTGCACCTTGAATTGCAAAGAAAACTGTTGTTAGCTAAATCACAGAAGATAGAAGTGGCATAAATAATGTTACCCAAAAAAAAAAAAAAAAAAAAAACAAAAAAGAGGTTAATGCATACATAACAATCATTTAATACTTGTGTGTATCTCCTTTGAAGAAAGGAATCGGATTATCGCACGTCAGAGAAAGAAAGAAAGGTCATGTAAATGTATATACCTTTGGCGCATTTAAATTTTCCCTCTAGAACCAGGCATTCACCTTTGCTTTCAATACATTGAAAACATTCTGGTGCTGACACGTTGAGGAAAAACTCAGCTGTCAATGAAGAGGACATGTTGGGTTGAAACGGACGCATGGGGACCTGAATGGTTTCGCACGTTGGTGGCAGAGGGTTAGGTAAATTACTGTTAGATGAATGGATATAATAAGTATAGTTAGCATTTCTGCAGCCATCCTTAGGTTGCGGAGAAGAATTTCTGTCGTAGATGTTGTTGCATTTGATAAGCGTAAGATTGAGTGTGGATAATGATACTTCAGGGATTGAAGAAGTGCTGGGAAGACTCAAGTCGTCGAAAACTCCGTCGTTGCAGCGATCCTTTTCTAAGCGGCGGGCAAGGTCTCTGTCTTTGATAATAATCGAAGTTGATAAAGAGCCTTGGAAATCATGCCAGTATCCTCTCTCTTCCAATTGGATCTTTGGTCCGTCGGAACAATCAACTGTGAACAATCCGCATTCAGGAGGATCTTCCCGGCTTTTGAAGGGGAAGATGATGTTGCCTACTGTGTCACTGCAGAACAATGTTTGGTGCGCACCGAAGGGGGCCTCCCGGGCTGGACAATGTTTGGAGGGTTCCGCTTCTGAATATTCAGCAGAGTGCAGAACCACAAGGTGAGCCAGAACGGAAAGAATAAACAAAGCCACCGGAGCCATCCGAAAATTCCCAGCTGATCAACAAGAAGAAAGCGCCGCAAAGGAAGAACAATAAGAAGATCTACTCTTTCTCTAATTCAGAACAAGAGTGATGAATTGCACAGAGGTTAAGAATTCTTTGTTTGCAATGTATTAACACCCCTGTTGACTTGGAATTTGGGAGATTGGAAGACTCTGGGAACTAACCATGTAAAGTGTTGCTTGACTAAAAGACTTGCATGGTCGATTAGGGGAGTTTCCTTCTCAACTTCCCGATTGAGCAGCACCATAAAGACTTTGGCCCCTTGACTCTTCAAACCATTCTCGTCGCTATGATGACATTCAAAAATCCTTGCAACTCCTCCGAACCACACAGATTACGGATAAGGATTGAGTGTTCAGTGTTCACTCGTCGCGTGGTGAAACATGGTCCGTTCCTTCTTAGTTCTTGCTTGCGGGTCTACTTATTTGTCTGAGCACTGAACAGCTTCATAGCTGAAAAGCATCTCCTAGTAACAGTACTAACGTTGGATTTAAATTAGTAAAACGTCATGACGAATTTTTCGTTTGTGACTGCCATTGTCTATACCGGTTTTGATGGTTAGGTAGTAAACGGATCGTGTAAGAATTAAAAATAAATATGTAGAGAGCATGATTCTATTTAAACTTCTTCCTAAAATCTTTTTCTATTTTACTTTAAATAAATAGAGTACATTGAGCATTTTCGTTGTTCAGAAAGTAAGCTGAGTTACGCATCCCAAACAAAAAATTGACAAAGTAAATGGGCTAAACTGGACCGCTACATGACCCGTTTCAGAGGCCCATATTGAGCCTACCCAACCCAGACAATATTTTTAACGAAACG